TTGTGAACCATAATAAACTCTGTTGAACTTTTACCCAGTTTCCGTGTGTGTTCTGCATTTTGGGCTTAACTCTAAGAACCCATCATGACAATCTCGTTTTTTTTTGGAAATATTGTATCTTGTTAGACTAAAGACTAGTGCAAGTCTCATTGTGTAGAAGTCTCATAGTTCAGTATCATTGTGTCTTTTTTATCATGTGAATGTGAGCAGATAAAGCTAAATCAGCCTATGGATCCATATTCAGGATCAGTTAGACTGATGTCAAAATAGTTGATATCTGCATAAACCTGTAAAAATCTAAGGGTGACCATATCATAGCATGTCTGTAAATGAGAGGGACATTCAGTACTATTCTTTGAGTTGATTAGTGGCACCTCCCTTCTATGTCGAGCTTTTATCCACGCAGCAGCAGTAGCAGCTGTGACGTATCAAATTATTGATTTGTTTCACAAATCACATTGACCGATAAACTAAACTCTTACTAAATTCGGTCAAGAGGAACATGCAAATATCTTTCCTATCTACAGAAGCACAGATCACTTCCTTTTTCTCTTTTTTTCAAAAATAAATCGAGGCTATTCCAGCTAAAACTGATACAGCCATCTTTTTTTTTGCTTCATCCTTCCACCTCTGATTGACGTGTTGGCGTCATACACATCACTGCATTTCGTTGGTCCAAACAATTACTGTTCAGTTTCAGGAGTTTGTGAATTTACAAATCTCGTTTCTTTTCCTCTTGCTTCTAGTTCAAACTGTTTCAGCTACAACTGAAAGGCAGGATATGGGTTACATAAAACCTGAACGCAGTTTGGGTATCATTTGTCTGTAGTTAGAAGGTAGTCTAAATGCAGCATCAAAGCACCAAACATTAGATTACGGTAGGTTAGATTAGATTAGATTCAACTTTATTGTCATTACACATGTACAGGTACAAGGCAACGAAATGCAGTTTAGGTCTAACCAGAAGTGCAATAGCAGCAAGTGCAGGATAAATAATGGTTCCATAAATACAGGACATGGGTATTTCTACTGAATGAACTTGAAACTATGGTTGATGATTTGACAATATGCTGCACTTCCATTCTTCAGGACAATAAAGGATGTGAGAGGCTGTGGGCTTGTTTCTCTCCCAAAGCGACATTGTTAAAGTTTATACCATCATGAAACCCTAAAAATTCCAGGATATTATAGTGTCCTTACCCCCTATAAGAATACTTAAAATAGGTAATCATTAAGTATGTTCCAGATAAAGTAATTGTTCCAAGTTATGTCAAAACAATAGACTAAATAAACATAAAAAAGTAGAAAAAGGACCCAGAGCTCTAGACCATCAAAGTTTGCTCTCTCTGTAAACTCAGACCTTTTAAAATGTAATATAAAAGATAATGGAAGGAACGTTATTAAAAATGCCATCCTAATTGTATTATATGTAACGTATAACCACCAGACGAGGCAAGTGCCCCCTTGTAAAATTTTTATTTTATCTGCTGAGTCTTCCCAACAATAAATATAAAACCCTGACTCAATTTCAGTTATCATTGCTGGTGAACTATTACAGAAACGAAGGATCGAGATGGGAAAATCGTGCCAAGTGGCTGAATCAACTATATTAGCAGGATGTCCAGGCTTTGAACCTATAGAAGAACTGATTACATGAACCTTAAATAGTGAGCAGGATCCTGCACAGATAGGGAAAAAATAGAATAGGATTTAAAGGATAGTAAGAAATGGAACACGAAAACAGAGCATGAAAATATTTGTATTGACTATCACTGAAAACAATAATGCAACCATTTTTGGCATATTTTAATGATATTTTGTTACTTTAACACAAGTGTTTTATGTCCCACCCTGCTAATATGAAAAAAAGAAAATGTGTTAAAGTAACTAAATATCATTAAATGCCAAAAACGGTTGCATTATTTTTTTTTCAGTTTATATTATCTTAAAGTTATATTTAGTAAGTCTTCCTTACATCTATATTCTTACTGTTGATTTCATCCTCTTTAATTATCTATCTTTCTGTATATAGTCCCATCCATTAACAAATTTAATTGCTTATTCCTGAGGGAATCAAATCTTATTTATTTTTTTATTTTTTTAACAGGTTGTAGATTCTGATGGCTGTAAACAGGAATAATCTCCTGTAGTGGTCTGTCTATCAGCTGCTTTGATAAGCCTCTGACTGAAGAAACGGTTGTGTGTCTGTTGTCTTGTCTGTATAAGGTTATTTATTTTTATTTAGAATTAATGAGAAAATTGGATCTGGGGAAACTTATTTTGATATTGGGCAAAAATTATTACTGTAATGTATTATTTATGTATTCTTTTCTTATTTAGTTTAGTTAGACGCCAAATATATGATTGTTTTTATTTTTTATTTTTTCAATATATAGCATTTATTCCCCTCAAAATCATCATTTGTTTGTTTTTTTTTTGTTTGTTTCTGTTTTTTTTTTTTTTTTTGATCACTCTTTAACTTGTTGTTAAAGTGAGAATGTGCAGCCTGCAGTCAGTGTGTGCTTGAACTACCTGTAGGATGGTCTCCAGGTGAACCGGGTCCAGCACACTCCCTCTTCGGGCGGTGATGATCACGCGCCCGTAGCGCGCGGGTGTCTGCAGGTCCGAGTAGAGCGCGTGCTTGGAGCGGTTAACAGGAAACAGGCTCTCCACCAGGTTGCCCTCGATCTTGGCCAGGCTGTGCTTGGGCGCGAGCAGGCTCTCCACGTCCCCCTCCACGCGGTAGCGGCTGAAGCTGGCCCCCAGCAGGATGGACAGCAGCACGGGCGCCGACGCGAAGAACACCGCGTGACCTGCCACGAACCGACCCAGCGCGAGAAATAACGTCCTCAGTCCCGCGTGCAACACCTGGCGCAGCATCCTAGCGGCGCGTGGCCGCGGCTCGAGCCTCTCCCACCGACCGGAAAGCTCCGGAGCCCCGCCAAGCATCAGGGGCCGCCGGACGCATCAGTGGGCTCCGTGGCTGCGGGGAGGAGGAAAACTAGGAGGTAAGGGAGAACTTCCCCCGGAGCAGGAGGTCACCAACCGGGGAGAATCTAAGGCTGCTTCTTCTTTTTCCCAGAGTTCTCTCATCCACTGAAGAAGATGCTCTTCAGGGCGCGTGGATGGCTGTGTGCGCAACAGCAAAATCTCTATGAACCATCAGATCAACACTTTATAAGATTAAAAGAAAAAAAAGGCAAAACTAAACAAACAGTTGTACGCACTTTAGTGCTTTACAGACGGAGCAGTGAGGACCAACCTTGGAGATCCTCTCAGATAAGATGCTCCAGCTCCACCCTGCAACATCAAGTCAGCACGCAGTTTGAAGGGTGGTCGAGTAGGGGGAAATTTATGGTAGGTGTCTGATGCAGTGCACGCAATAAAGGGATGCCGGTTGCATGAGCTCCCCCCCTCCCAAATTATCCCGATCTGAGTTTCCTCTGCAGCAGAAGGCTTGTTGAATTGTATCTTCCTCTCACCATTGCACCTCCAGCCCACCCAACAAGCCAGACACCTCTAATTAACGCCCTTCAAACCAGAAATCTGATCTTAATCGGCTTCTTTGCTCCTCTTCTGCTCCGCCTCCTGCTTTTTGTCCCCTCTCTCTCTCTCTCTCTCTCTGATGCACAGGAGCAGTTAACTGCTGTGTGTCTGATTTCTCAAAAAAAATAAAATAAAAAACAATCTGTCGAAATCAGGGATATTAGATCCAGCATGGGAGCAGGGGGGGATGGATCAGATTATTCCCCATCCTTTTCTCAGCGTGGCGCAACTTTTCTGCATGCAGCTGAAAAATCATTCCATATTTTGTTGCTTGTTGCTACGGAAACCAGACAAAGCACTGTCTTCCTTTTTTTTTGCCACATCCCGTTACTATGGCAACGGTGATGCCACCCATCCCCCCCTTTTAGTAAAGTCCAAACAGACTTGCTCACACACCTGCTGACTCCCAATCTGCTTAGAGGATGAAGGTGTTTCATACCTGGCATTAAAAAGAAGGAAAAAGAAGACATGGTGTGGAGAAGCAATGAGATCATCCTCTTCTCTTATCATGCACCTGTGGAACGCACTGTGTGCTCCGTATTTCCCTCAGTGGGGCATCTGTTAAATCTTTGGGTGTTTTTTTTCAAGCAGCTGGCAAACAAAAAGTTTTTCAGTAAAAGTCTCTAAAGTCACTGAATAAACATGTTCATTCTTTCCTTGCATATCAAAGCCCTAAATTCATCAACATTTATATTTTATTAATTTTTGGCTGAAAATAAAAATGATCAAAAAAATTTTTTCATCTTATAAGATTACATTTGAAGAAGATATTTTAAGTGCGAAAGTAATTTATTTTGAACTTACCCCAACTGATTATGTGAAGCTGGAACGCCCCTTGTGGTAGCTGCAAGATGTTGCAACAGCATGGTAAATTTTACTCTAAAATTAGATGCATGTTTTAATTATTTATTTATTAAGGTGAGTAACACTTACCATGATGTTGATAGATGTAATGCATATTGACTCTATCCATCCATCAATCTTCCCTCACTTATTTCATTTGTATGGGCGACCATCTCTAACCTGACAACAGCCAGATGCATGTCTCGCTCCGCCCAGCTCCACTCACATACATCTGGGAACCCGCTCATTGAAAGTGATTTCCCCAACCGAATTTATGGTCTGTCCAATCAGGACGCAGGGCAGGTGTGTCTTGGAGTGGAGAAGCAACCGCGAGATTCCAACAACAATGGCGGCTCGCATTGAGGAAGCAAGCGTTAGCATTGATGCTGCTATTTCTTCTGTGTTGTCCAATCTATCTAATATTGTTTCATTAAAAGACCGGATTTGGCAAGAGCTTGATCTACCAAATGGCTCCTCCTCTCACAGCGTCACGGGTTAGCTTCGGTGTGAGTGGTTGAAATAGCACGTCAATAAAGATGACAGACAAGTGGCTTATCCAATCATATGCAAGGAGTTTTGATAAGGCCCAGCCTTCAGTAAAGGCAATTCCTATGGCGGGTTCCCAGATGTATGTGAGTGGAGCTAGGCGGAGCGAGACATGCATCTGGCTGTTGTCAGGTTAGACCATCTCCGGGTAAGGAGCAAAGTACACCCTTGACAGGTCGCCAGTCTGTTACAGGGTCACAGAGACACACAACCGTGCACACTCAATCCTAAGGATAGATGCCAATTAATGCAACGTTCTTGATGCCAATTGATCTAACGTTTTTGGACTGTAAGAGGAAGCCGGAGTACTCAGAGAGAACTCATACATGCAAAAGGAAAACATGCAAATTCTATGCAGATTACCGGCCAAGAATTGAACCTGGGACCTTCTTTCTGCAAGGCAACAGTGCTAAACCACTTACAGCCCTTTTTACAAAAAGCATGCGTTTGTAACCTCTTAAAACCCACCGGGTCGCCGGCAACCCAGTGGACCTTAAGTGGGGGTAATAATTCAGAATGCATTAAATTCCACCGGTAAAATCTTTACCAGCAGGTGGAGCCATTGCGCACAGCTCCAAGCTGACGCCAAAAGTTCCAAACCCCACAGCTCTGGAACTGTTTTAGCTAGACGTCTGAAATGTTCTACATTTGTGGTTGATATGATGTAGAACACATATAATACAATGAAAATTGCTTTTTCTCAATAATGTCTTTATTACTGCTGTTAAAAAAAGACCGATCATTTCCGAGAATTAAAAAAAAACAACTTTGAGTCATGTTTGAACTGATGCAGCTTGGTCTGTGTTCTACTCACCCAATTTTAATTGATATATTCTAGAGGGTGTTAGCTTTCAAATAATGTATTGCACATGTAATTGGGGCTTACAGTTCCTAAGTTATTTGCTTTGCCATTTGGGTATGCAAAATAGGCCAGGATTACCTAAAATGAGGTGGATGTTAAAAGGTTAATCAAATACTTCTAGGGATGTATAAAGAATTTTGAAGTTATGCAGATGAACTAGAAATGCGATGTATTTTAGAAAATATAGTTATATATATAATAGTTAATAACATACAAAGTTGGCACACAAAGGTTGGTGCAGAATGCCCGATACTGCCACCGTCCCAGGTTCAAGTCCTAATGCTTGGACCTTTGCTGCATGTATCCCTCCTCTCTCTGCACACCATTTCCTGTCAGACCACTTCTAAGAAAATAAATATTTAAAAAAGAATAGACAACAGTGTGATTTTGGAAGCAACATCACACGACAGGCATTACCTTTAAAAAATGAGCATGTTCTAATCTGTTATTCAATTAAGGCTCAATTAGCCCCTTAATCCCCATAACCAGCCCAGGGAGGCCTGTAAGCTGAAGAAAAGACTGATTTAATGCCTCCCAGGGGAGGAAGGAAGAGCAGGAGCTGGAAATGAAAGACTGTGGAAATATAAGTGGCTCGGGGCAATCTCTGATAACAAAAGTTCTAATTAGTGTCGCTAAATGATTCATAGAAATCAGAACAGAGCGTGAGCAAATCAGAAAAAAAGGGAAGCGAAAAGAGACTTCAGAAATAGCTCTTTCTTCTCATTTCTGCCTGAGTAAATGTAAACTAAAAGGGAATCCTCTTGGGGTTGAAAACTGCAACTGAACAAATACACTTAACAACATAGATATGTACACAAGATGGGCACAGGAAGGGGGGAATAGAGACAGTAAAAAGAGGAGGGCCTCTTACGATTTTACTGCTCACAAGTCATTTCTTTGACATCATGTTTGTCCGTCTTCCCTCTATTATTAAAGAGCACTATATGGATGAAAGCAAATATCACGAAGCTTCTCTCCAAGTTCCCAAAACTGCTCTTCATTTTCTTCCCCTCCCATTCCTACAATCCATCTGTCTTGGTAAAGGACATTTATTAATAAAGAGGCTGTCCTTTCATTTTCTATTTCCCCTCCTTCTGTATTATTTATTTACCCATCCATCACCAGCTACGGTGGGCAGCCATGATGGAGTGGGTCCACCTTCTTTTTGTAAATGAGAACAATTTCACTGTGAGATGTGAAAATCTCAACTCAGTCAGAAGGGTCACCCATAAAACTGAAATATGATCCATAATTTTATGACTGATTCTGATTTTTTTGAACTGCCAAAAAAAAATTGTTTTTAATGCTCATTCGTCAAATTTGTCAAAACTAAATGTTCCCGATCATTTTGTGTTATTTGGATCAACTTTTGACGTTCAATTCAGAAGAAACAGTTTTAGTGAAAAAAAAAGATCTGATTTTTAGAGAAACTTAAAAAACATGACTTGTACAGCAACATATCTCCTTGGCAAATGTCAATAAAGCGATTAAACCCATTCATTTTCTTCCAAGATGAAGGTAATATTAACATTTTAGAAGCGTCTAACAAGAATCCAAGGTCCTCCTCCATCTCCTCCACTGTCCTCCATTACTAAGGATTATAGGAGCTTATTAATAAAGAACCATTTGAAAAATGGTAGGTACAGCTTTAGAAAATCTTTCTAAAGACCATATCTTATAAAAATGAAACAGATACACATGTTTTTCTTTCAGAATTACCACTGTTAGGATAATTATCATTGATGATGTATGAGTTTATTGTTTTCCCCAGTTGTTCATCTAATTAAGACAGTGTCCCGCAGTGGGGGGTACTGCGGGAGTATAGAGTACCAGGCCCTTTAATAAGAGCTGTTAGGTCTTTGTATGCCCGGTGTCAGAGCCTGGTCCGCATTGCCGGCAGTAAGTCGGACTCGTTTCTGGTGAGGGTTGCACTCCGCCAAGGTTGCCCTTTGTCACCGATTCTGTTGATAACTTTTATGGACAGAATTTCTAAGTGCAGCCAAGGTGTTGAGGGGATCTGTCTTGGTGGCCTTAGGATTGCATCTCTGTTATTCACAGATGACGTGGTTCTATTGGCTTCATCAGGACGGGATCTACAGTTATCACTAGAGCGATTCGCAGCCGAGTGTGAAGCAGCCGGGATGAGGATCAGGGCCTCAAAATTCGAGACCATGGTCTTGAGCCGGAAAAGTGTGGAGTGCCTTCTCCAGGTTGGGGAGGATTTACGGCCCGCAGTGGAGGAGTATCTTGGGGTCTTGTTCACGAATGAGGGGAAGATGGAGCGGGAGATCGATAGGCGGATTGGTGTCTGGCGTGAAGCGTTGCACTGTACTGGTCTGTTGTGGTGAAGAGAGAGCTGAGCCAAAAAAGCAAAGCTCTCGATTTACCTGTCGATCTACATTCCTACCCTCATCTATGGTCATGAGCTTTGGGTCATGACCGAAACAATGAGATCCCGGATACAAGCGCCTGAAATGAGTTTTCTCTGTAGTGTGTCTGGGCTCTCTCTTAGAGATAGGGTGAAGAGCACAGTCATCTGGGGAGGACTCAGAGTAGAGCCGCTG